CGTAATAAGTCTTGTGAAGGTGAGAAGCTCTGCTCTGATGGACAAGGAAGGCATCATAAAGCAATCCCTGGATGTAGAAAAGGACTGTTGTTATGTCTATGGCATCGCCTAAGGCAGTCTTGGGAAAGAAAGATTCAGACCCAGGCAAAGCCAGTAACACTGCATTTTCTGTAAGCCACCCTGGGACATCCCCAGCTGAATAGGTATACATACTGAACATTTTCCCCCAGGGGCTAGAGGTAGGAAAATATGAGACTAACATTTTGTGCAGTATTTATAGTTTCTTTTTTTGTTTATGTATTCAATGAGTGGACTTCATAACATGAATCTTCCAGATGCAAGGACCAGAAAAAGAACTCCAGTTGTTTGAACCTAAATGAAATTGGATTAGATAACAGAGTTTCAGAAGTAGGGTTGACTTCAAGTGAGATTTGGTCCTGAGGCCCAGGATGTCCTTAGGCTCTATCTCTCTGAGTCTTTCATATTTGTCCTCCTCTGAGTATTGACTTCTTCCTTAGGCTTTTCTCGGGGTAGTAAAAGTGATGAGAGCAGTTCTAGAATTTCTACACTCACATGATGTTCGTTGGAAGAGAGAACACGCTCCTGATTGCTCGCAGAAGCCTCATAGATTTTGTTGCATCTCCTTGTCCAGTTGGGTTATGTGTCCATTGCTGAGCCCATGGGATATGTTTATTGGCTTAAGTTATTGAGCTTCATGCCTGGTGCCCCTTCAAAGGATTCTGATTTCATTGGTTTGAGAAGTGGATTCAACGTATTGGTATTTTAAACGCTCCTTGGATGATTCTAATATACAGCTGAAGTTGCGTTCTTTTGGTTTAAACCAATCAGTATACACTCTTAGAGTTGAGCATGTAATTGCTCTCTCCAAAGGAAGGTCTGAGTGAACTTGACAGATAGATGGAGAAGGGGAATATAGATGTTGCGGAAGCAAACTTCGAATGTTTACTCGTGACAGGCATATTAGTTGCAGACATATTAGCTGTGTCCACATCGTCCTTTCTTCCTTGCTCTCGGAACCCAGCTTTAGTCTGGGGCTTTAGTCCGGGGCAGCCAGGCGCCAGCTCCAGGAGAGAGATCATGAGAACTACTGGTAATCTGTTCCTTCACTTTTTCTCCTGTGCAGTGAGAGAGTGAGAGTGACAGAGAGAGAGAGAGACAGAGCTAAATTATGCTTTGTACATAGCAGAAAGTACACAGAATGTTAAAATTAACATGGGAGGAATTGGAAGTGTAAGCTGCCACCGGAGAAGGAGAAAGAAGGGGAAGGGGAGGAGGGAAGAAGCAATGTTCAACAGTGGCTACTTCCGAGGAAAAAAGACTAGAAGATGAGAAAGCAAACTTACAGGTTTCATTTTATACCCTTCTGTTCTCTTCGAATTTTTCTTTTTATAGGATTGTTATTTTTTATAATTAAAAATAAATTGATCTCTTTTGAGGTTGTTTTCAAGAGTTTAAGATGGTTTAAAATATATGTAACCTGTTGATAGAGTATATTTCTTTAAATGTGTAAATCACCTTTTTAACAAGAAATAAGTAGCACTTTTTAACTGTCCCATTCATTCAGAACCTCACAATAACATAGTATGGATAAGAATAAAGTATGCGCATTTCGCGTGTGAGAAAATGATCCCAGGAGCTTAAATCAGAACTCAAGGTCAAAGCCACCTCATGGGATCTAACGCTAGAGGAGAACTAGCTGTAGATGGTCGTAGGAGATTGAGTTTTGTTCTGCCTTTCATATTGTTGCCTCCGCTTTATTATCTAGCAGCCCTAATCTGATTTAGTCAATGACTAGAGAGGAGAAAAATCTCAAGAATTCAACTATGAGCGTCTTCCGTGATTTGTTTTCAATCACAGGCTTTTCAGTTTGACTTGATTCTCAGGTATCTTAACTGATCTTTAATTGTTATTTTCAAATTATTTATCTAAAAAGAAATCATTATGATTTAAAAGTTGCAGGACATCACAAGACTTGTTTTTCTCTAGGACCAGAGAATAGGTGAGTTAGTTTTCTACATTGTGGGTAAGATTTCATACATCATCATTTTTCATTTGTCGCATTTAGGTTCTGTTCTTTGCGGTCAGGTGTTAAAGAGGAATTCAAATTCCCCTCTTACAATTTATTTTATCAAAACCAAATTCTTGGGCAGAACCCTACCCAAGCTTCTACTGTTTTTAGAGCTTGAAATTTTGCACAAAACGTACAGATACTTTCATATGATTATCCATGACTATTCTGTCCAAAGACAGTAATAATATGAATATAGGAAATGCATAATTTCATTTCACCTATCTGAAGAAATACCTGTCATGTGCAAGTCAGTTAACACATCATGTGTGGTTCCATCCTTAGCAGATTTTTACTTGTCATATTGTTGCTTTTCCATCAGTATCAGAGTCATAGACACTAACACTGAATGAATTTGTATAACATTCAGTGTTGGTATCTAGGAATACCAAAATAACTGAAAGATGGTGAGGTGGAAGAGAATGTTTAAAAAAAAAGTCTGAAGTCTGGATCAACCAGTGATGAACGGGTAGCTGAAAAATAGAGATTTGGCTACATTTAGTTGTGGGAACAGTTCTGAGCCATCAGCCAAAGAAGCCAAAAGAAAAATTAGCAGGGACCTTTAATCGCAAGTTAATGAAGCCACCTAGTGGTTTGTTACAAAATTTAAGGTTGTGTGAATATGTGAAGCAACTCTGTGTATTGATTGTGTGGGGTTTCTAATCACACGTGATTAAGAGTCTGATCACTTTTCATTTAGTCTTGCAAGGAAGAGAGAGGGTCATTGTCATCGAGAATAAGCACAACACTGCTCTGTGAAATATTTTATTTATTTGTATTCTTCTTAGTATCAAAAAAGACTTAATGCAACTTACATGAAAATGCAGTGAGATAGCACAAACTAGAAGATAAGAAAGAACAAACATGATTAAGGACATAGAAATAGTCAAAAATTTCAATGATTCAAAATGTCTCTAAGTTTTTCATGACATGACTCTACATTTTCAGGTAAGCCTGGAAACTGATCACTTACAAAATTTACAGTGTCCAGAAAGATAAAGCAATTTTCAGGAATGGAAAACCATACGTGATGCCACGAGCAGAGAAATTTTTCTTGTGGGGGGTCCTCACAAATGAGGTGCTGCATGATATAGTATATAATGTCCTCAGTCCTTGTAGTAGAAACCATCCCGAGTCTGGGAGGATTGTTTATTAAATGTGTCTACACTATTTGAGAAGAATGTACACCAGACTCCATTTTTGGGATTGGCATTAATGCATTTGAGTCTCACAATAAGTATACGTGGGAGGTAAAGGTAGTATCATTATCCCTGTATTGCACATGAGGCCATGAGACAAGTGAGGTTATGAATGTGCCCAGAGTCAGCTGTTACTAAATATCAGAGCTGGGATCCAGACCTGGGCAGTCTGGCTCTAGCACTCATGCTCTTTCCCAAAATGCTGTATGCCAAATGGCCAATTTAGTGCCATAAGGCCCACTCAATGAAAACGAAAATACCTGAGTACCTCCACCCCCGCCCCATGACTTATACATTCTCCAGGGGACAATACAGGTGTGCTTTAACATGCTGTTAAGAATGAGGTCAGGGTCATATATTTCTGAGATGACCAGTTAACTTTGCTGTCTTCTAGGGCCACAGGCTTTATCTCTGAGCCCAATCTCTATACACATTTACATGTTTACATGTCTTTGTTCAAAAAAAAAAAAAGACCAGCAAAGAGTACTCAGATTTTCCACTTCCTAACTTCTAGAAAATAGCTGGAATCCATGACCTTCTGGTGGCATCTCCTCAGATACAGATCTAGAATACAGTCATAACAAAACACTTTATTTTGCGAGCTTTTCTTTTTTTGAGTGGTACAAACGTTTGTGAATGGCAGCTAAATTGATTTCTCTTCACCAGTCCTGAAAGGTGATTAGCAATGGACGAGGCAAACCTTGAAAAGAGCTTGGTAGGAGAATAATGGCATCGCTGAAACATTTTCAGTTAGAGGAGTCAAAATATCGTATAACTTGAGTCTTCAATCGAGCATTTAGAATGACATTCTTTTAAGTTGTGCTTTAGGATAATTGTGTGGTTAGTGTTTTTGCTAAGAGGAAAAGTTATACCTTAGAACATGACTCTTCTATATAAATAAGGCTCCTTAAAAACAAATTTCTGTGACATTTTAGAGGAATGTTTAGCTCAACGAAGGAGTTCAGTAATGCTCCCGAAAGAGTCAAGTTTTGTTTTGGGGCCACCATGATTATCTACGACCCATAAGATTGAAGTTTTCAGAATCATAACCTTAGAATAGTTTTGCTGAAGGCTTATCATGGGAGTACAAATGAAAGGGAGTGATGCTGAGATACAGTGAAGGAAACATTGGCTGGGAATCAAGAAATTCGGGCTTCTTAAGTCTCCTTTATCCTGATAACCAAGGAGGACATACATTCTTTGCATAATTTTTCTCATGAACTTGGGACTCAGACATGGATTCAAATACCAATTCTGGTACCTATTAGCTGGGTGATACTGGATTAGCCAGGTAACCTCTTTGGGCCTTAGTTTCTTCATCTATAAAATGGCTTTAATAATACATGGATTTCATTGGTGCTCACCGTGTGCAGTTACTGTACTTTTTCATACCTTTAGTCTTTATAACCATCTTAAATGGAATAATCACTATTGTTTTCTCTACCTTGCAGGTGAGATCACTGAGGTTGAGAGACTAGGTCATGTGAGGAATTTAATTAAGACAATTTATGTAATGTGTCATATCACCTGTTATACAGCAGATCCTCCAGGAATGGTAGCTGATAGATTTCTGTCAACTCCATCTCACCCATATCCTCTTCTTTTTAGATATGCTTAGAAGTTTAGTGAAGAAGAGAACCACAGCTTAAGTGTGGGACTTAGAGGTTTAGGCCAAAGGATAAAAATAAAACTCAGTTTTTATTTTACTACAGGAGTGGCAAAAACTCAACTATGATATCTACACCCTGCGACAGATTCGAAGGGAAGTGAGAAATAGATGGAAACACATTTTAGAAGATTTAGGTGAGTCCGAGAGTGATTATGAAGTGGTAAAAATAAGCAGTTGTGATTATTCGCCTTCATTTTCATCACCATGGTTTACATAAAAAGAATGTCAATAACTGACTACTTAAGGCTACTGTAATCATTTTCCTCCTGTATCCCCCAGCATAAACATCTGATATTTCCATTAGCACAAGCCCAGGTCTTGAGGACACATTTTGCCATGTGTTATTCCATCTGTCCTGAAGATTGAGTAGCATGGGGCACTGAAAATTTTTGGCATTGTATGTTGATTGAATTAGAGGGGAGTGATTGGCCAACTAGTAATAGCTTTATAAGATGAGGCAATTGGGAGAAATATCGTTTGTAAAAGAACTTTTTTGTGTGTGTAAAATTCATTATAAATATTCAGAAGGGCGAGAAGACAGAAAAGCTTCAAAGTTGGGGAAAATACCTGTGGCATTAGAGTAGATACTGGATATTGATTTTTCTTAATTCTGCCAGGGTTGTGGTACAATAAACATGGCCTTCACATAATAAAATAAGCCCATTTTAATGTTGAAAAAAATGAATCGATCAATTTTGGAGTCTTTAGTCCTGCTTTGAAAGAAAGCATGACACCTTGACATCATAACTTTTCAAAAGTGGGTACCCAAGTTGCTAGCTGCTGTTGCTTTACTTGGGATATAATAGGATGAGGTGGACTTCTGCCTTCCTGACCCACCCAGTATTGTTGGGACTTAATAGTCTCCTTTTTTACAATATAACTTATTCCAGGCAGGTTTAAATCTGTGAGTCTTTTATACCTTTGGGTAAGTAATTTTAACCAGCCAACCATATTGTTCCGGGGAAGGGAATCTGGGCTTGGAGGAGTAGGGACCTGGAAATGCCCCTTTGTGGTGCCCACACTGCAAAGGCAGGTGGGAATTCTGGGGACGAGAGAGAGAGGGTGAAGAGGAGGGAGTGGGAGGAGGGTTTCAAACCAAAAAAACTACAGGGAGCAGTCAGTGGGTGAGTATCTGAGGCTTAACTCTGAGGAAAAAGTTAACAAAGAAAATTAAACACAAAGAAACAACAAACAGATTTTAATACAGGACCTGCCAGTCTCAGTGAGCTGGGAAGCAACACGTGGAGTTGTGTCTTTGACTTCAGTTTTCTGATATTTGTTCAGAATCCCCATTTGGTCCCTTAATCTCCTGCAGGGACAGTACTGTGGGACAGTCATTTCCTGTGACAACTTTATATGACAGGTAAATATTTTTTACTTTAGGATTTCAAAAGGAAGCAGACTCTTTGTTGTCAGTGACGAAACTCAGTACCATCAGTGATTCTAAAAACACAAAGAAAGCTCGAGAGTTATTGTTAAAACTGGCTGAAGAGACCAGTATTTTTCCAACAAGTTGGGAACTCTCAGAGAGATATCTCTTTGTTGTGGTAAGTGGATGCCTTTTTTTAAAATCTGGCTTTAAATTTTTTGTCTTTCTCATTCCATATACTCATCATTCTAACACCACCAGCAATGCCACAATATGAGGTGTCGGATGCTGTTGGCATCTTATGCACTGGTTTTCCATGGCCAGCAGCATCAGAATCACCCAGAGGACTTTAAAAGTTCAAATTTCTAGATCATATTCTGACCCATTGTGGCTTGGGTTGTGGTTCAAGAATCTGTATTTTCGGACAGTTCTACTTTTTGAACCATGTGTAGGTCAGAGATGTGAGGAATATTGTTTATATAACCTAAGATTGAAAAAGAATTTGAAAGGACTCTAGGAGTGGTGGAATGTTTCTTGGATGATGTAAGTAAAGGATTAAGGTGTGTCTGTAAATCTGTAGAAAATTTGATAAATACATACTCATTATTTCTAGGGTGGACTTTGTTGTCGTTAGATTGGTTTTCCCATCGACATGGCTTGGTTCCCATCTTGACAACAAATTTATTTTTAATTTTTTTGGCAGGACCGTCTCATTGCTCTGGATGCTGCAGAAGAGTTCTTTAAAATTGCCCGTCGAACTTACCCCAAGAAGCCTGGGGTGCCATGCCTGGCAGATGGCTAGAGAGAACCACACTGCCTTCTATTTGCAAATCCCTAGAGGAGAGGCAAGGAGGCAGAATTGGAATGCTCGCACTGGAACTCAACAGCCAACCAGAGTTGGACAGATTCATGTAGATGAGAGTGAACACGTAGAGGGCTTAATGAAAAATTATTCTGAATCCTACAAAAATCTAAGGATTTGGATATCTGGTCTTCAGGAGTACTTTCTACTGTGAGATGTTCAAGTTGCATTAAAACACCCTGGTGATCTTGCATCAAGGAGTTGGTCGGTGGGATATTTCATCATGGATGATTCATTCCAAGAACCCATTGCCCTTGTTTTGATTTTGGTTGTATAATATGCCCTGATCATTAATCCTACTGGGAAAATGGACTGTTTTAGTTATTAAAACAATAAGATTAATGGAGAGAGCTATCATTGAGCCCAGTATGGATTACCAATTTTTAAATAATTCTTATGTAATATAGGCTAACACCAAAATCATACCAGGTACTGTGTGACCTTTCTTTTATTTGGAAGAACCTATAGAACCTTGGAGGGTGTCAGAGGCATCATTCTGAGTATCAGTTATGATTATTCAGAAATATTGAGGTACTAGATAATAGAAATGTCTAGGAATGCTGCTCAGATGTGAGTTCCAAATAGAGTGATCACAAGCAGAACTTCCTGCAGCTACATATAAAAAACTCTTCAGTTGTGGTATAGGCATCTTTAACTCTCATCATTACTGATATCTGGTTACCTCTTTTTTGCATAATGTCCATTTCTAGTCCGAAAGCTCTTGATATTTTATCCGGGATAGCATCTGTAAAAAGAAATGTTTGACCTCCACTTTCTTCTCTTTAATCTGTCTCTGACTTATCGGCTGAGTGTTGCACCTGCCTGGGGCCCTCTAGTGCAGACTTGCAGCTCTGCCGGCAGTGTAGCTTTGAAGAAGGACTTTTATTCTGAAGATGATTTTCAAAATGGAGCAATGCTGCCAATACAACTTGCTTCTGTCCACAGACTGAGAAGTCCAGCTTCAAAAGTTACTTGCCCCTTAAACAAGGAGCTTGCCAAGAAATCATGGTTCTTTTTATTGAAAAGATTTTTCAGAACTTGGAGGGTTCATAAGTAGATTTCTGAGAACAGCAGCAATATTATTAATTTTACAGATTTTGCTCTTCTGACTTCAGGTTTAAAAGTAACTTGTTTTTAGTCTGTTCCAGGGGATTGTGACTTGAAAATTTCCATATCCTGACTAGCTCTTTTTGTAGTATACACAAGGTTTAAATTATTTGTTAGAGGAAATATACATTCTCCATTTATTAATGCATTGCAGAGCAATTTAACAGATGTTTCAGGAAAATTCTTCCTTAATAAGCTAAAAGTCTTATTTTTTATATTCAGTGCTTAATCCCTTTCATGTTGTTTAAAATTAGCCTGCAGATATTTTCTCTCACTTCCTCGGGCTCTTGCAAGATAAACGTACAAACAGTGAAACAAACAATCAAAAACAAACAATAAAATAAATGTGAAAATGGAAAATTGTCTTTGGAATTTGTGTTTTATCTTTCTGTATTTTTTGATGTCAAAATAGATGAGATTGTTTGCATTTATGGAGAATAAATTGTAACTATAGTCTTTATTTTTGGTAATGAATGATGAGTAAGGATAAGATTGTCTCTATTATTATAAAAACACATGGAATTATCGGGGAAATTTTTTTCAAGGAATTAAAAGGTTTCTGTATTTACTTTTCAGTTGGATGTGTGTTGTATTTCCAAGAAATAAGAAGAAACAGATGTTTTTTCCATAATCCTTTTAAATTAAAGAGTAAAGAAGCTAACTAAGAGATGGGTTTAAGGACATCCCCTCATCCTAAAGCTAGTCGAGGGGCAGATCTGTGCTCAAGTCCAGTGGACACTGCAGTACATGAGAGAGGCTCGAGGGTGACTGCAATGACCACCCCAGAAGTCACAAGGTGCTCAGCCGAACCAGGATACACAGAAGTGCAGGTGGCTGGAGGGTTTTCCTACTTTCTAAATGTGTCTCCATGTTGACCTGTAGTACTGTACTACTTCTCCAAGGTTCATCTGTGTATGCAAGGCGATTTCACGTGGTAGATGGATGGAAATTTTTATATTAATAGTTATTTATTTTAATGTGTACCTGTAATTGGCAGATCAAACACCAGATTTCCTATTAATGGATATTATTGTAGCAAACAATAAAGTATGTATGTTTTCTTAAAGGGAACACCCAGGAAGGCACAGTGGACACACTGACCAAAGTGATAGGAATGTATTGGTGAAGAGGGTCCCAGCATCACTGAGAAGCCCTATTGGCCAGAAGTGGGCTTACTGATAACAATGGAGATGGACGAATAGGGGCCCAGTGGCAGTGCCTCCCTGTCAGAAGCAAAGTGGGCACGATTGTCATCATGAGTGGTTAGGTCTAAGAGATGCCTACAGAAAGATTTGGAGATGATTAATAGAACATGGTATCCCTAGAAGCAAAGTGGGTGGGTAGACATTAAGGGTATTGCTCAAGCTATACCATCAAAAGATCTCAAGGATGGATGGCCGGCTGATCAAGAGATAGGTAGGGTACAGCCACCCTAATACAGAGTTATAACCTCTTGCTAAGTTTCCAGACTTTGGCTACTTTCCAGACCCAGAAACTACTGATGGAAGTAAAAGCCAGATCCTGAAGAAGGAGGGCTGTACAAGACCACAGCAAGTGTATGTGGCAATGATTCCCTGAGCCCTTCTTCAAAAGCACCTATAGTTATTTACTTGGACAACTTGGGGAAAGGAGTGTACACAAGCATTTTGAGGATGTGGGACACACAATCCAAGTTGAAACTGATGTTCAAGGATGAGAGTATCACTATAGTGTGCCTTTTAGAATGAGGGCTTACGGGACTCAGGTAATAAATGGAGTCCTATCCCAGGATCAATTCGCCGTAGGTCCATTGAGTTCATGGATCTACCCAGGGGTCATCTTTCCACTTCCAGAATAAATTGTTGGGCTGAACATTTTTGGGATTTGGCAGAACCACCATTTGTTTCTTGGCTTGTGGGTTAAAAATTGTCTTAATGAGAAAGCTGAGTGAAAGCCTCTAAAACTGCTCCACCTCCTGGCCGAGATAGGAAACTAAGGTCACATCCCAGGGAGGTGGCAGCGATCAGGGCTACCCTTAAAGACCTCAAGGATGCAGGAGTCTTGGTCCTGATCATAATTCCATTTAATTCACCACACTGGGCCCCTATTAAAACTAGATGGCGCAAACTTGCCTTCTTTTTCATTGGATTAATGCATTTATTCATTTCCTCTGATCACTTTCTATTACTAATATCACACGAAATATGTTTAAATTTGATTAGGTTGCATTGAAAGGAGTATATTCAATTTCCAAATCACTACCATGTACAAAGTAAAAATGACCAACTGCTTTGAACTTTCTGTTTACAATGTTTTAAGAAATTTATTATTTCCTTCCAGAGTATTAGTCCATATCCTGTTTTGACACACTGCAAAAGGGCACTTGGCATCTCGATTTTTCAATTTTTAAGTCCCTTAACATATGAGTTTAGAAGACTGGGTTTTGGAGAATTTAGTCAGGGACTCTGGTTTTAGCTTGAGTCTCATCCTTTGATCATTTATTAACTAAACAGGGTTTATCTGACCGCTACTCATCTATATTCTAAGTATTTAGTGAGATTAAATTTAGAACAGAATTATAAACACAAAAATTAAATTATGACATTTATAATAGCCCAATAAAGCTGAAAACCAATAGCTGTAGTTTTTAAGTAGTAATTTATTTTGAAATTTTTTCAGCATCAGTAGTAGGAAATAGATATATCATATACCTTAGAGACAAAAAGGATTTCAAGTATCCTAATCAAGAATACACTTTCCAAAGATGGTTGTTTAATCATTTCAGTTATCTTTATCAAAATTTACACCAGAAGATTCATTAAGTTGCGTAAAGGGTGTAGGGAATGCTTTTCCATGTATGAAATAGGTAGTAGTGTAAGGGGTTAGCTAGAAAGACTGTCTGGCCTCCATCATCTTTGCAGGAAGAAGGTGTTAAGAACCTGTCAAACCCAGCAGTGCTCAAGTCCTTGAGCCCTATTTGTCCTTTGCCTACTTCACAGAGCTGACACTATGTTGTCTGATTTTATTATTGGAATATTGTTGTGTCTGCCTAAGAATGAAACTTTGACTCAACTTTTTTTTCAGATTTTTATTTCGCTCTGGTGGGTCCTGAGAAAAGAAGCGGGGCATTTCTCTGGGATTACAGGAAGCAAACAGATCATTCTTGGCTAATAAGTGCTGTATGCTTAGAAGAATTTGGTCCAAGACTCATTGTGTTATAGTGCCTGTTTGTAAGATTATGGGGCAGGAGACTATGGCCTTTACCCCTCTCTCCTAATTTCTGGAAACCATAGGTATTTACTAAAAGACTGGACATTTGCTGAAAGGTCATATTTACTTAGGTCAATTTCTAAACCAATTTTTAAAATAGAAAAGTCATGCAGAACATTTTAAAATAGAAAAAAAAAAAGAATCCCATAATACTAAAACTCTAATACAAGCATAACATTTTGGGAGATTTCATTCTTTTTCATGTGTATATGAGAAATTTATATGTACAATTTTATATCTTGATTATTAAATTTAGGTCAGGGGTCATGAACTCAAATGTCTCCAAGGATCATTGAGTAGGGACTGAAGATCAAAGGAAGTTATGTGTTCCTCATCCAAAAGGGAACAGTTACGACTCAGCTCCAAATGATCATTCACATGCAAAAGAGCATAGTTTCACCAGTTATTCTGATTTTTTGACAAGAGCCAAAACCCATGATTTTTAGATAAGTTTTATCAATTTTAAATGTTAGTTACTAAATTAAAAATTTTAAAACATAGTAGAGCCGATGATACATATATATATACACATATATATATACACATATATATGTATATATACACATGAACTGATAGTTTATCACATTTCACATGTCATAAACATTTTCTGTTAGTAAGCAGCCTCTAGAGCATCATTTTTACAGATACATAATGTTAAATTGAATAGATGTAACACATTTGACAATCTTTCATCTATTTTTAGACATTTAGAAGTTCTTTTCAAGTTCTTTTCTGCAAGAACATCTTCTTGCATGTTTCTTTGTCCTGTGTTTAGTGGAATTATAGAATCTAAGGGCATGGATATTTAAATCACTTTTATATACATCATCAGATATTTTTCAAAAGGTTTGTACCAGTTTATACTCTCTCTAGCAGTGATGGTTTCTCCATATCTCTATCATCATCGGTATATATACCAGAAAAAATTGACAAAAAAAAAAAAAAAAAAGACATCCACTCTGTTTATTAGTTAAGGTGAATATTATTTTACATGCTTGCTTACCACTTTCAGTCCTTTGGTGACTTGTCTATTTGTTTCCTTTGTCCTTGGTCCATAGGGAAAACTCCTACTTTGAAATTTTAACGTCAATGTATACAGCAGCCGGGTATAAATAAACATCAACACCTGCTTCATGTTTAAAACATCTGTTTTATGGGGCTTTTCTCTTCTCCGCTAGTTGTCAGCTTTCATCCTTGGGTCTCTCACTGTCTCACATGGCAGCATCTATAATAGAGGCAAAATGGATTGAAAGCCATCTTTAAATAGCCTTTGATACTATCTGTGTCTTTTTAATTCATTTTGTGGGATATGATTCTCAAAGATTTAGACTGATGAAGTTTTACACCTACATTTTATGATTAGTTATCAAATTATTACGAATTACTATGAGTTTACAAACACAAATTTTCCTACTGTGACATTAGGGTCAAGACTAGCTCCTAGCTTTGAGATTCCATACTCAAAATTCCAGAGCTCAGAGAGACTTTATAAGGCATCTATTCCAAACTGCTCATTTTGCTAATGTGTAAATTGAGTTCCAGTTACTTCTCCAAAGTCACCAGCTAGCAAATAACTACATCTGAATTCAGCTAATGGATGGGTGCATTTTTGTATATTCATGTCTGAATTCCATTACAGAAAATGATTATTTTGCTCTTCTAAGACTGAAGAAAAATTTCCGTGGAAAAGCTTTATAAATATTGGTTTTATTCCTCTTTTACCTCAAGAGGTATGATGGGAACAGTGGGATTCAAGAGGAAAAAAAAAATCACTAAATATTTTACTTTATGTATATGACAGAAGTACAAAAATTCAGTCCAGATATTTTATTAGAGGTAGCTCTATGAGTGTCATTACTACAGAGGTTCGTATCCAATTTGGGGGCAAAACATTAAACTAGTGATTTTTATCCAAAGGTATCTGATGTCAATAAAATACATGCCACAAAGGAATTGCGTGCTCTGTCCTAGAAGCTGAATATTCACTCTTATACATCTTGAACGTCCCTCTCTGTGGAAGGCTCTGGATCTTTCTTTGCAGCAGCTGAGCAGGTAGCCCGAAGGGGCTTGCCATTCAAGCATAGCAGGGGTGCCAGAATAAGTCTAAAGTAGGAGT